CGCCCTTCTGTCCCCCCCCCCGCCGTTAGGTCCTCTATCCTACCCCTAAAGGCAATCGCACGAACCACAACCGTTTTAGGAAATCATTGGGTTTACTTTTTAGACGAATCCGTAGGGCCAATTCATGGAAATATAGCAGGTGAGTTTAACGTCACATTAACATCAACAACAATTGACAATGTTCTTAATGAAATTAGGTAATACTTACCCAATTGAGAACGACACCAGTTCTTTTTAAACAACCTTGACACATTTCTTTTTTTTGTTTTTCGCCGTGTCGTTGAAGTTGAAGAAAAACCTCGCTTTAGCGCTTGGAAACACCCTAGATTTTCGCGGCCGCTACGCTACGCCACGCCGCGCCGCGCAGAGTTGACTCGTGCTCAGCGCTATGCACCTCCCACGCATCGCAATGAGAGGGGGGTGGGGGAGGGGGGTGGTAGATCCGCATCCGATATGCACAACATAACCGCACCACGGCCGCCCACCCCGCCCCTCCGCACCCCGCCACGGCAGGCGGAAACCATTTAATTCGATTGTAGCGCCACACGACTGGAGCAGGCCTCGCTGCCGCCGGAGCAGCCCCTGAGGTGCTACCAACTTGTGCGATAAACTGCCCTCGGGAACGTGCCTGGCGCCGCCGGGGTCCTGGACGAGGAGCGACGTGGAGATATCGTCCCGCGGGAGACGCACTAGCCACTGATGGAAACGTTATCAGGCGTGTTATTGGCGGCTCTGACCTCATTCGCACCCGTGAAACACAGGCAGGGCTGGATGCCACATTTCCAGGACGGAGCGTGTCAAGATATGCCGGGGGTTATTCACACGCACATAACACACCCTGTTCGTGTACGGCGTCTCGTCGAGGGATTGCACGTTAAGAACGTCCGTCATTCGCCGTTACGAACCTGACAAGTTTTATGGCCTTTTGAAGCTCTCATGGCGCCTGACGGGTAGGCAACACATTTCTCGCAGTGCACGCGTGTACTGCGGGCTGGCCTACCCCGAGTCTCGCAGGCGCTGACCACCCGTGGCCAAATGAATCCGAGAAAAACGATTTTTGTTTTTACAAACCGTCATTCGGCGCGGCATGCCGCCAAAAGTGTCGGGTGACAAAGTCAGTGTAGAACCACGCAACACGCCGACATGAAAATAAAATTTGATCGCCCACGTAATATGTGACTTCTCAAACACGAGTATTTTTTAACCCCTCCCCCCTACACTAAACGGAGGTTATCACTAAACAAGCTCTCAAGATTGTCAAATGAATCGTGTTTAGCAGGGCCAACTGGGCGCACGGCGGCCGCGAGCGCTCTCGCTGCTCCTTCTGTTCCTGAATGGGGGGGGGGCGTTACTTTGCGCAACGTACAGAGGCGTGGCGTAGCGTAGCGCAGCGGTCGTGTGGGGAGGGGTGGGGCGCGGTAGACAATTCAAATGGGGACGATGTGCAGGCGAGGAAAAGGGGGGGGGGTGGCGGGGGTGCACACGTGCTCTCCAGTTCAATATCGGTTGGTAATCGAATGGAGACCCGGATCACAGTCGTTATCGTACACTATGGAGCTTGACAGCTACTCGCCGGGCTGCTGCGGGGGTGGGGCGGGGCGGAGCACCGCTGTAAAGTGGGAGCATGGAAGAGAGGGAGAGAGAGAGAGAGAGAGAGAGAGAGAGAGAGAGAGGGAGAGAGAGAGAGAGAGAGAGAGAGAGAGAGAGAGAGGGAGAGAGAGAGAGGGAGAGAGAGAAAACAACACAAAAGAGGCCAATGCCGCTTCGCGTATGCGGCAGCAGGGTACTCCAACAACTACACATGCGGCTGTGTGGCTGTGTGAAGCTGCGGCAGCGCACTGTCCCGGTGCACACCATGACCAATGTTTTCATGCCAGTTCGGAAACTGGGCCGACTGGGCTTGGCGTGTGTGTGTGTGTGCAACTAGTGCGGCAAACATTTGAAATAAATCAAATGGCAATGATATTTCACTCATAGAAAGAGAACAAAAAATAGAACTGCGGCCACCCATCCAGACGCCTAACGCCGCCTTCCACTCACATGGTGGTCACCCCCAACAAATTTATTCCCCGCACCCTCGCTTTACACTCTGCCTCCCTCGTGCGCGCGCGCCGAGCGCACCCAAACATGTTCCGTCTCTCTCCCACCCACACACGGGTGCGCTGGCCAAGTGTCATAGCTGATTTATTTGGTAGGAAATGCGATGGCATAATTTCCTATTCCCCGGTCCTCAGTCGGGTCGTACATCACGTCACGATTTCCGACCACCTGATGGGAGGGAAGGAGCGAGAAACGAGAGAGAGAGAGAGAGAGAGAGAGAGAGAGAGAGAGAGAGAGAGAGAGAGAGAGAGAGAGAGAGAGAGAATAAAAAGGCGAGAAAGGCGGCCAGGCCTACAGGAATGTACGTCGGGAGTGACTGGGGCTGGCAGAAAAGCGACCCCTCTGGGAGAGGAATATACCGCGACAGAAAAAGGCACAGAGAAGAGTTTATCTTGGCCCGCGACGCGCTCCTTTGCAGAGGGATGTGGGTAACGGCCGACTTACGCCGTCGTTTTAATCTCACAACACAACCCACACCCTCACACCATTCTCTCTTCTTCCCTGTCCCTCTCTTTTTCTACCCCCCCCCCCCTTTCCCACCGCTTCCTTGCTTTGTCACCACCTGTTCCTGACTGTTTTCTACGTGTCGGTATTGGAAGTAAAACTTTAGAACGGGTGTTTAACTCTGTGTGTGTGTGTGTATGTGTAAGGGATGGGGGGGGGGGGGGAAAGAAAGATGTTGACGCCTCCTCCCATTGACAGCAAGTGGCTATAATTGTACTTTTATGACGAAGAGCTCCGCCCCGGCCTGCCCGCTTCCGCTCCGACCTCACGCGGGAAATTGAGCGGGCCGATGACTGCCCCTTTCCCCCACTCCTGACAGCAACGCGAGCCGACCGGACTATCCGACACGCGCGTCGCGCTTCGACAAAAGAATTTCTGAGAAAAAACGTTGATTGCAGACGCAAACCGCATAGCGAGCGCGGCGGAGCCGGGAGCGGGAGCGCCTGTATATCTCATGGTAGGCCACCCGGCGTGCAGGCGCGCGCAGCCGACCGGCCTACGGCCTACCTCCCGGGCGGCGTGCATGGACTGAAAGAAAGGTGCCCTGGAAAAGAAGCATTACAAGCCCCCTGGACGCCGCCTCTGCCGGTGACGCGGGAGGCGGGCTCTCCCGGCCTCTTTCTCTGCTTATCCTATTTCTCTTTTCGCGGCCGTCAAGAAGTGGCAGTGGTGTGTGTGGACTGTTACCAGCATGGATTGGGCATTGACGTCACGTGTTTGTTGGCGTTTCTCTCCCCGTCGTCGTCTGCCTGGCTCCCGCGCTGACCCCCCAAGGACTCCCCCCCCTTTCTTCCTACCCCCACCTCTCTTTCTCCCACCGGTCCCGCCTCTGATGAATGCGGTGTGGAGAGCCGCGGCCGCGTCACAGCTGCTAATGAAGTCCACCCTTCTCTCCCGCTTCGTCCGTCTCTTATACAGGCTGTGGCCCGACGAGCCGTCCTCGAAGCAGTTCTGGGAACTCGAAATTGATTCCACGAAACGAGTCGATCGTCATGACACAATTTCCAAATCAGTGTTGTAGATGGAATGGATGAGGATGAGGAGTGGGAAGAGTAATTCAGGCAACCGTTTCAGTTTTTTTTCTCCCCGTCTCATAATATTGCAAATGGGTCCGGATGAGTTTTGGCTCCCCTCACCTGAGTCCGACGCTTCATCAGTTAACACCGACCAGCACTCCGCTGGCGCAGCCCAGCCTTCTTTGCGCTTCGCGGCCGTCGCGGCCTGTCCATCAACCACCGCGAGTTCTCCCTCGAGGCCCACCTTATTGATGTGGGAAGGAGCGGGGGGGGGGGGGGGGATAGGTGAGGCCAGCCGTCCGAGAGGGTAGCCTCCGGGCCTCGGCCGCCCTGGCCCGGACGGGTGCTAGAAACTTTCTGATAAACTGGACAGCAGCGGCGAGGCGTCTGCTGAGACCGCAAGGTCTGTCTCATGCTCATGCGAGCCTCGTGGCGCTTCAGCTCCGCAGTGACGGGCTCTGTCAGGGCGGTGGCGGTCCGGCACCGTGAAAAATGTCTCGGTATTTTGTTTTGTACTTTATGATTTACAAAACGATGTCGTGATCGTGAATTTTTGATAAGGATCGACGGACTGTTTTTCCTCGTTGCAGCAATTCTGAAATTTTACAAATATTCGGATAGAATTAGTCTCATGAAAAAAACTTCCCGTTCAGCATTTGTTTTTTTACAGAGGTGGAAGGGTGGAGGCTACGCTGCGCCCGCGGGTCGAGCGGCGCATCGGCTGACCATGACAGCCCGTTGTACTGGAAACAGGGAATTGTAGGAATTCTCAGGGATCCCCATCAACATCAAAGGGCTGCTAATAACTTCAATGTCTCTCGTTGGGACACGATCGATTGGAGCTTAAAAGGGACGATATGACAAACCCCAAAATGTGTAAAATAAACTGTGGTCCTGAAGTTGGGCTTGTTTCTCGTTTTTGGTTGTTTTGAAGCGTGACAGCGAAAAGCAGAGAGCGTTGATGGACGTCGAGGCCAAAAAACGTTACCACAACATGTCTTTCTTTTGCCGACAAGTTGGCTAGCTTTGGTCTCAGCTCGACCAGTGAGTGCTTCCTCCTGCGGTAAAAGCTTCGAGGTGGCACTGTGGCTGCTGCGGTGGCAGCAGTGGTAGCAGTAACCTCATCGACTGACCGGCCGACCGAGGCTCGCTACAAGCTACACCATTAAACCGCATAACCGTCAGCCATTAATCTGAGTCAAGTCAAGGCCCGGGCGGGACGGGGCTGCCAGGGGGCTGCCAGGCGCCCACTGGCTTAAGGGGGGCCTCGGCCACGATAAGGGAATGCCACGTTCCGGTTCAAGTGATGGCGCTAAGGCTATTCAGGAGCTGCCCCTCGCCCCCATCCCCCCCAGCACCCGGAGGCGAGCTGCAGCGGCATAAGCTAATGGAAGGGGTGTCGTCGGACGATATTGATTGCCAAGGGGCGCGGGGCGCGCAGCAGCCGCCCGGCGGCGCACGGAGAAAAAACAAGAAGGAAAACAACAAAAACGCAGCAGCCGTGATCGCAAAACACGCCATTCTGACATTATAGTTTACTCGATCTCTACCAGGCAGCACGATATACGTCGCAATTGAAAATGTATGTACCCTGCGCAGATTTCTCAAAACAAAAACTAGTCTATGCACTGTACTGTGAGAAAAACTTGTAAATGGTACAGGGGAATTTCCCTTGATGTCGTAAATTTTCAAACATATTTTGTAAATCGGAACTCCTATAATTATGATGAAAATTTCCACAGTGTGACGTCACTGCAAGATGGGGCTGCGGTGGTGGAATTGGGGCCGAGTAGAGGCGAGTACTCTGTGGAATGGAGCCCAACGGGGTGTGATCAGGTACCGCGGCGTGGTCTAGGGCGCGCTGGGCCGAGCACACCCTCCCCCCCCTCTTCCTTTCTCCTGCCCCCCCGCCGGCCGGCCCCTCACTGCAGACGGCCGGCCGGCTCCCCGTTGACTAATGACCGCCGAGGCGGCTCGAGTAATTAAAAGATGAGAAATTCTCCGGGCGTGCGCGCGGGGCCTGCGCTGCGCCCGCTGCGCCTCGTCGTCGCGGGGGCGATTGGGTCGTCCACCGTGAAAATAAATAAATCTACAGTCGAACAACAGTTGAAAACTATGTAACGTATAAACAGCAAAAGAACAACAAAACTAATGTTAAATTCAATTTTTAAATTTGTGGATGGTAGACACAATAAGTTTTAAAATATTGGTGGTCGTTTTTTTTTTAACAGAATACCTCTCGCTCACCTGGGCTGGAGAGAAAGAGACACTACACTCGCGCCGAGGTCGGTCCGCACTGCAGCCGCGTGTCCAGAGCGCGCGGCCCTGCCCCCCCACTGTCCGGCCGCGCGCGGCGCACTGCAGAGGCCAGACCCAAACAAACTTCTTTCTAATTACCCCTAATTACCATGCAGGCGGGATGGGAAGGCGTCCAAATGCGCGTTGCGATACGGCCAACCCTACACCTACCTCTCCGCCGACTCCCTTGCCTGCCGGGCCCTCCCCCTTTCCCGCCCTCATCCACCCCT